TTAAAGTGTTATCAAAGCTGGTAAAGGTGCAGCTAGTTTTAATGACGTTGTATACTGCAGGGTAGCAGTAGTCCATTAATGCATCAATAATGTATTTAATATATATCTGTAAAACTGCAAATATGATTCTAAAATGAGCCATTATGCTTAATGAGTAATTTTGGTACTTTAAGTATAAGTTGAGACCAATACTTTTATAGTTTTACTTAAGTAGTTTTACTTAAAGGTGGGGTAAGTAATTCCCTTCAGAAACACTTTTTGTTATATTCCATGGAATGCTCTTACATCCCGACAGCAATGAATATATTAAATGCTTTGACAATAAATCCATAAAAGATTTAATCTGTGGAAGCCGTGGCGCTGTAAAAAGCACGACCAATCATCTGAGCCGGCCCGGCTAAAGTAACTGGATGGCCTACCTGCCTGTCAGCCTTCCATCTGTGCACAAACTTATCTCGTGCCCTCATTGGTCATGTGCGCGTTCGTGTGTGTTGGAGGAGGGGCTCTGTAAGGAAGTCTGAAGGAAGGGGCAGATTTTTTTCGATTGTGTAATTTCAAATTCTAGCGCACTCGAGCTGGTTTCTCCATTCTTACCTACCCTACCTTTAAGTAAGATTTTCATTTTCTTGTATCAGAGTATTTTTTACAATTGAGATCACTACCGTTACTCAAGTAACAAATATCAGTAATTCTTCCTCCACTGGCACTAACACAATTCTTTATTGTTAACTGAGGATATTCTGTTTGTGAAATAATGACAAATAGTGATTTATATAGTGATTGATTAGGGATTTCTTCAATTTATTAAGAAGCATGAAATCATTTATAAAGATATACAAACAAATTGGATAGACTGACAAACACATCAGCGGCAAACCAGCTGCCATTTTGACCGTAAATAGATTAAAATAAATGATTTTATTGCATAAAGGTTGCTGTAGTTGGTCAGTTGTATGCCCTTAACGATCAGCTATAACAGACATCAATGTCTAAAGCCAGTTTGACTCTGATGCTCAGTAAAGTAAAATATAAGTATTAACATAATAAAAACACATCTAAACCACGTCTCACTGCTTTCAAAATCCCAGATCTGCCTGCAGGAATGAAGAATTTATATTTTGCGATGATATTCGTTTTGAAGAGATCTTAAAAACACATGTCTTTCTTAGACTTAAGTTAAAGTAATAAAAAGCAAACTAAAAAAGGGTATTTTTGTGTGTTTTAAGACATTTATAACTGATAGTAGCATTTAGTTTGAAGTCTACTTTCGTGCTTTGCTATGTGATACATATTTTAACACTTAGGCAAATAAAGCTAATTGAAATGCATAAAAAGAAAATACTGTAACAGTCCCACAGTATTTTACACATTTAAAATTACACCATAATACATGCATTACTGTATATATCAGCTATATAAATACACAGCAGTTTCTGTCAGTACAGTATTTGTACAAACATGATTTGTACTTGCTCTTATATATCTGGCTCCGTCCCTAAGTTGTTCATCCAACCAGGTATTTTCAGACTGTCTCTTAAAACTCTGTCTTCACTTGTATCAAATATACACTATATATGTGTTTATCTTATACCAATCTCATGTACAGCTATTGTTCAATAAGCAAAGCAAATTAAATGTTGTCTTTTACAATTAAAGCAAAAGTGTGAAGTTCATTTCAACGGTGTCATTTTAAAGGGTTGCTTATTCAGACTTTACGAGCACAGGTCAAAACGTTGCTCATTATCTTGAGATTTTTTGAATTTACGTTGGGATAAAGCCTAACCATCATGGAAATTGTAAGAATGCACAGTATATGCTCGCTTTCACATCAGATTAGAACAAACATCAGTCAAAGTTTTAAACAATTACACAGAGATTCTTCCAGATACATTTAAATCTCTACCTTTCATTTTTTAAATAAATATACTGCTACTTCGTTTTTTTATGATGTTCTACTTATCTGCTATTTGTTTTTTACTTATTGTGTTTTTTAATACTTGTGACGTGGGCCTACTCAAACATGTAAGTCTATTCTCTTTGCTTTATCTACACTACACTTCTGCTGTTTTAATAATGTACATTTCCCCGCTGCGGGACAAATAAAGGAATTCTGATTCTGATTCTGAAAAGTGTTCAGATGGATTTATTGCTGAATGTTGTCTGCAGCTCTTTGAGGGTCATGTACCCGGTTCTGCATGGCTCGACAGGCATGGAGGAGGACCTGTTCATGGATCCCGCTGAAGGCCAGCTGCCACCATCTCCTGCTGCAGGAACATCCTCCTGCTGGCTTTCGGGGGAAATCAGAGTCGGACTTGGAGGGGTCGTAGCAGCGAAGGTAGAGCACATCCACAAAGGAAGACGGAGAGGGAGAGTAACAAGAGGAGGATGATCATCAAAAACCTCTTCGTCTTCCTTTCCAAAACCGAATCCGGAGTCTGGGCTCTGCGGCTCTTTCTTTAAGCTCTCGTAGTTCGGAAAGGTATCAGGTGCAGAACAGAGGTTGAGGAGAAGATGGTTGTGGAAATCCTCCCTATAGGTGAAGTATGCCGGGTTGGGGTCAGTTCGAACGGAGCTGTTGCCGGAGGAGCTGGAGATGAAGTAGCCCATGTTGGAGAAGCAGGATGAAGAGGAGGAAGAGGAGTTATCAACGACCCCGCTGGAGCCTGAGATGGTGGAGGGGTGAGAGCTGCAGTGAAGCAGGGCGCTGGTCGAGGAGGGGGGAGGGGCGACATCCCAGCTCTCACACATCTCTAACGGGGAGATGGGGTCACGAGGCTGCGCCGTGAAGAAGGCCTCAGACACTGTCATAGGGTTCAGCCAATTCTAGGGACGAATAAAGGCAAGTTTATTTATATAGCACCTTTCAACACAAGGCAATTCAAAGTGCTTTACAAAAATGAAATACATTAAGGGCATTAAGAAACATATAATAAAATGACATTTAAAAACACTCATTTAAAAGCAAAGACAATGACAAATATTAAAGTGACAGTGCAGTGTGAGATACACACATCTGAAATGTTTAGGACTGACTCTCAATCATTGCTCACTTTTTAGCAGAAATAGTTTTCTATGACCTCACTTTCTTTTACTTTCTTTGTTAACTTATCCTTTAGTTATTTCAAGTGTTTCATGCTAAGCGAACGTTACCTTTTAGTTTTCGCCGAAACTATTCTTTTTTTTTTTTAGTTAAGTTTACCTTGTCTTTCTTGGAATAAAGAGAGATTTAGTGTAGGAAATACACTTGAAGAAAGCCTATTTTTTTACAATTTCTAGTATACCTTATTGCATTTCAGAATCAGAATACCTTTATTAGTCCCACAGAGAGGAAATGTACATTGTTACAGCAGAAAAGAGCCAAAGACAGCTGAATGTTACCCAAGAAGCATGCATACAAAAGTATTAAAGATTAAAAAAAAAGTTATTCAATTTACAGAAAACACATCCTGTAACAGTTCTGAGGATTTAGCAGCCAGGTATATATTGCACAGTTATTAACGGCATATATATATATATAAATATATATTGCTCATATTTGCACTGTTGTATATTGCATAATGCTATGTTTTAATGTTGTGTTGTGCCATTTGTTTTGGAAGAATCGCAGCTGTTCTTGAAGAAGGCAAAGACCATTATCCATTCAGGTGGACAACAAAGTCAAGCTAATCTAATTTAATCAAATTTTGAGGAATCCAACCTATAATCGAATCTAATGTCCCTCTAATTTTACGTGAAGTTCTCTGTGGGTGTGAGTTTGTCTGATGGTGTTGGTTTGAATACAAGCTAAAGACAAACCACACCAGGTGGGTTTTGGGGTTAAAAGTAAAAAAGAGGTTCCAATCTTTGACGGACTGTTTCTGTAACTCTGACAGTCAGTATTCAGTTATAGCCTTTACTTCCTTTTAACCTGAACCAAATCTGCTAACTGAATTTAAGTAAGGGGTAATGCAACGGCTAAAGAGCCCTAATAGAAAAGGCTGTACTCTTTTATAATTCAACCTTGGTCAAGATGGAGTTATTGGGGTCCTTCTTGTTTGGCAGTATAAACGACAAGTAGAGCACAATAGCTGTATTGTGGTTACATTTCAGTATTTGCATCAGGTGATGTCGCTTCTTTAACATAACTGGATAAACTCAATACTTCTTACACCACTGGATAATTTGTTAGGCCTTCCATATGTATAAGGAAGTCAATAGCGAACATATAGTGAAAATAAAAGCGGTCCCAGGATTGAACCCTGAGGTACACCAATTGGGAGAGATGACAAAAGAAAACAACAAATCTTTCTGGTGTCTAAACCCGATGAGTTGGTTTTATTTTGTCTGTTTGTCAGCAGAGTTGTGGGAAAAGACTGGCCAGATTTTTGTGCAATTGGGAGAAGGGTTTGGCAAGATCCAATGAAAAACAAATGATGTCTTCGTAAAAATAACAGGCCTTGATACACATGTACTTTTTGAAAACATTGCCTTTTTGCGGAGAAATTTGCTTTTCTAATGTCCTTCCAATTTTTACCTTTAGATTTCCTCCGTGGACAGAGTGGAGAGTGTGGAAGTATTTTGAAGGGTTTGGTAACGGCTTCCCTTTGAGGAGCCTAAAACGGCAAAAGGGTGCAATCATATTAGACTTACTGGATTCAAACACACACACACACACACACACACACACACACACACACACACACACACACACACACACACACACACACACACACACACACACACACACACACACACACACACACACACACACACACACACACACACACACACACATACTCACCCCCTGCTCGCACAACTCCTGTAAAGGAACACCGTTACAGTGATGAGACCCAGGATGACGCCCAAAATCACTCCCAATATTATCAGTTGTGTCGTACTCAGAAGCCGTTCTGAAACAGAGAGCTGACATTACAAGGTGTAAATATGCAAGTAAATTATTTTGTATTCTCCTCAGCTCATAAGTTTTGTTTGTTTTTATATGGTTTATTAGGGTTTGGTTTTTCCTGATTTATTTGTATTCCAGTAGTTCCACTTCACCTTTGTGTGTTTTTCCCGCCACTTTTGATTGTCTGCCCCGATAAAGTTGACCTGTCCCTCGTTAGCCCTGCAGTCGCCTGACCTCCTGCTCACCCGTTACCGTTCACCGGCTCATGTCCAAACTAAACATACTCCTACTCTAATGGAGTGGACTCAGTCTAGTCTCACTCACAGCTGAATGAGCCTCTTTTTTTAAGGCGGAGGACATAAATGCAGCTTTAGGACAAACTCCCCTCTCTCCAGCCGAGAGAGGAACCGTCCTTACTATTAGGTATAGTTTTGAATCAGCATATCTTAGACATCTCGGGATTCTTTTAAAATTATTATTTATTCTACAATTTCAATATTAGTAGAGACAATTTATAAATCCTAGTAGTGGGGGGAGGGCAGAAATCATAGCTTATACAGAAAATAGTCCGTTAGTCATCCAGTTGCAGGATAAGTGTAATTATAATAAAATCCATAAATCTTTACTGCTGTTTCCTTTACTTGTAAACCTCTTTTAAATCTTTGTATGAGCTGCTTGGTTTTTGCAACAGTCCCTGTAAAAATACAGTCTTTACAATTGAATCCACACGTCTAACACTTTCTAAACTAGACCTGGGGAGGCCTTTATATGACCCTAAATAAAAAATAAAACAAATGCTCTAATACATTTGCTGTCCCTGTCCGCCTTCTGGACCTTTAATCTGCTTTTTTGCCTGGTTAAAGTATCATCACTTAATCTGCTCGTCTGCATGTTGGTCCTCCTCGCCTACACAAACATCCATCAGACGTGAGAAATACTTTATTTTATTCATAATTTCTCATCATAACAACTTGTTTAATCCTGTCTTTTCTGACCCGTGTTCATCTTAAGTGGAAGATGTTGTGTGTATGAAGGGTTCTTTAAAATATGTCATCATTAGTTTCATATGCAAGAAACTTTGTGTCTGATCTACTTCCGTCAATTGACTCACAGGTACACCAGTTTGCCAAACTACAGTTTAGAGCTTATTTTATCTGTGCTTTGTGAGGACTTTAATCTAAATAGATGACTTAATTTCTCAACAGGCCTGTAAGCTTTTAGATTAAAAAAAAGAAAGAAAACTGGACGTCTTTTTACCTCGATTCTGTGATGTTTCCACCTCGTTTGTCCAGGATGTTGTTGGACTCCAGTTGCTCCAGTTGCTCCAGTGGCTATTAGAATCCTTGTATGATAAAATGGGTTTGACTCTCACCCTGACCTCACAATGACCCTTTAGTTTCCCAGCAGGAATCGATAGCTCTCGTTCTTGTGTGGACAGAATAATGGCCTCCTGAAAGCATATCAAAACGTCAGCCCAATATCAAAAGAAGGGAAGGATATCAACAACCAGAAATGATTTGCCAAAGCAGCATCTGCGTTTAATTTAGTGTGAAACCAAGCACTGCCTTATTTGATGCACAGATCATTGAACTAAAAATAAATATAGGCCTGCAACATTAAGACCAAACTCTAGTGGAAGGGGAAGTGACATAATGTTAAACTTACGCAAAGCTAATGTTAGCAGTGCATCAACCTTTGCATCACTTTGAAAAGTTAGTAACACCCCAGTTTGCGAGAAGGAAGAAGCCACAATATGTCAATAGAGAAAACAAACTCCCACAGGTTTTAGCCATACTACTAGCATGGATGGCAATGTTGCTATTTTAGATTGAACCTTTAATCTAACACTTATGTCCTAATTATTATACTAAATTATTATTATTCTCGTTTTATTTTTGTGTAAAAGGCAAATTTATGCATGTATAGTGTCGGCACTCACGTTCCATGTCTGGTGTTTCTGTTTGATCTGAGTTTGAAAGCTTAAGGTGTTTAAGTACTTAGAGGGAAGACTGCCTGGACGCCACGATATAATCGTCTCATTGGCTGTGCTGTTGACATTAGGAACACCTGGAGGATGCATTTTTACTGTAGGAACACAAAATTGATGAACAATTATTACTACAGTTTGAAAGCCACACATATGAAAACAGATATGGATTTAGTTTTAGACTTTTTAACATCATGTCGTGATTTTTATGTCCGATTCTTAACCAGATTTGCAAAAGAACATTTAAGAAGCACCTAAAAAGGTCACTAAGGAAGTAAAAGCCACTCACTGTGCTGCACTGGTCTGTAGTCTGTGATTTTCTCCATCATTGTGCCGTTACACTCCACACGGATGTAGGGCATGTTAGTTAAAGAGCTAAATTTCTGGAAGGACCCATCATTTGATCAGTTAGGAGCGTAGGAGCAAGACTGCTGATTATTTTTATCAATGCTAACCATAAATGAGATGTTAACATGTTCAAATGAATTGTATTTTAGAGACTTACTTTCTTTTCAAAGACAAGATTGCAGCCTCGAGTAAAGTTAATGTGTTGTTTCAGCTTGCAGCTTTGACTAAATCACAAAAAATACAAAAGTCAACACTCTTGTTAAAAATAAAAACCTACGAAAACACATTTTTCATCCATGAAATGTTGGCAAGCAGTAATGAGTAGAGTATATTCAACATCTTACATCATTTTTTGCTTGACTCCCAGTTTTTCGCCGATAAATGTTGACTCCTCACCAAGGACCCAGCAGACCGCATGGGGAGTCGCTGCAGAGCTCTCCCATGTGCAGCTGATATTGTTGACGTAGTCATTTACACAAGAGAGTCCTTGAAACACAGAGAAACAACAAAAAGATAACTTCAGTGTTATTGGACTTGGAGGGGGGGAGTGTGTGGGAGAGAAACTCCCTCTGGAAGAAACCTTGGGATTATAGCGTTAGCAGAACATTTCGTGCACAAAAAACCTATATAACACACTACAGGAGAAACTAACTAACATAGAAAATGTTTCAGTTACGTTTGTCTTTGGTTATACCTCTCAAGCCTTTGTGAAAGTTGGCTGCATGCACTGAAAACAGAACCACCAGTAAGAATAGGGACAGCAGGATCGTCATGGTGATGACCACAATATGACTGTAAACAGAGAGGAACAATGCAATATACTGAGAACCTAAATGAATAGTGATACACAGAAACATTTTGACATATGAATTAGGGATGTATGCAAAAGCAACACCTTTATCTAGTATATCTAGATACATTTGTGTGTGTGTGTGTGTGTGTGTGTGTGTGTGTGTGTGTGTGTGTGTGTGTGTGTTTAAACTAAATTATTATAAAGGGGGGGGGGTGTGGTCATGTAGTAATTCAGCAGTTTAGAAACACCTCTATATTTATCGTTTTTTAATGGAGGGAAACTCCTTTCTGGAACCGCATCAACCAGTCGTTATTGGTGAGTGATGAGCTGTTTTGAGGGTGAGAAAACAATACTAGATCCACACTGAGAATAAAACTCATCCTGAGAAGGCGGCAACTCACAGTTATAACTGAAACGTACTGGTTGCATTATTACAGAGAGTATAATAACTGCATTAACAGCGTCTTATTGGCCATACTGATGATTGCCAGGGAATCATTTCCATAGATGTTTACCTTTTGCCCTCTGACGCAGATGACCAACCTTGGCATCTGTTATCTCCCTTAAGGAGGGGGCTTCTTTAGCCATTTGTTGTTGTTGCCAGTTTATGACCGGGCATCTCTCGGTCAAAGATAGTTTATTGTTATGAGGACATATGGAACAACTCCTTCTCGCGGCTTGATGAACCCAAGGTATGAAATCTTCGAGGCCATAAGCGTCAACTGAAAGTAATTCAGTGTCCCCAGCTGTTTAGTCTATCTAGTGAAGAATGTTGATTTCCCTCATCCAAACTAGTTAAAACCTCTACGAGAGGACGGTTTCTTCAGAATTGATTGTAGCATCTCATCCGTGTGGTCAGACCGTGGCCCTATGACTTGTCTTGTGAATTCTCCGGTCGAAGCTCCAAATAAACCACCAGTGTTTGACATCAAAGCTCCAGCTCTCCACCGTGTCTCTCTTTGAGTTCTGACTCCTATTGCTTCAGAAGTTTCCCCCACAATGATTATTAATTATTAGGGGTGTAACGGTATGCGTATTCGTACTGAAAATATTCGGTATGGGCCCCTCGGGTCGGTACACATGTGTACCGAAGTGTACCGAACGAATATAACGTTACACGTAAAAAATGGAGAACGTGAAAAACCTTTTGGATGTAATCTCAGGTGCCGCGTTGCAGCGTTCAATGTAATTTGCTCACATTGGGTTCAACGCGTCATAGAGCGATCAAGTCGACCAGGGATGCGTTCAAATATAGTAAGTAGTTTGAGGAACTGTCGAAATTCCCAACGCAGATAAAGTTGAGCTCAAAAATCCTCCAGCATCATTGAAGTCTCCGGTTTCAACTAAAATTGGTTACGCGGCTGGCAGTACATCAAACTTGCACACATTTGAAAAGGCATCACCCGAACGTGAATATCACCGGTACCACAAGAAAAATGACTGAAGTGCAAACCCAACTCCGACTAGCATTTAAGCCTCCACCACTCGCGAAGTCCAGTGCCATGTTAGCAAAGCGCTACCTGGCTGTATCTGCTACCTCTGTCCCTAGCGAGAGTGTTCTCTACAGCAGGAGACATTGTTAGTGCCAGCAGATCTGCCCTTTCGGCAACAATGTGGACAAGTTCATTTTTCTTAAAAAAAACATGAAAATACAATGACAAGCAAGTCATAATGTCAAACTGGCTGCTTAGGTACGAGTACAGTACAGTTCAAGTGCAGATTATTTCAGTTCATCGAAATGCTGCACCTTAATGTTTATTTTATTATATTTTGTATTTATTTGAGTGAATACATTATTCACAGTTTAATAATAATAAAAAAATAATAATTATATTTTATGTGTTGTGATAANTTTTTCTGCTGTACCGAAAACGTACCATCGAACCGTGACCTAAAAACGGAGGTACGTACCGAACCGAAATGTTTTTGAACCGTTACACCGATATTAATTATCATGCTTAATTTATTACATTACACTCAGCTAAAGCTTTTATTTAAAGCGACTTACAGTAAGTGCAATAAACGAGGAAGATACAAACGTCAAACAAATGGAAAATGTGTGTTTTTAACACCTAAACATTTCTCACAAGTCTGAGTCATTGTTCGTTTTAGCGTCAAAGCCTTAACCTAAAGTTACAGTAAATGAGTTAATGGAAAGTGCAGATGTTTTTGTAACATCATGTGCAAGGGAAACACTTCTGTTCTGAGTAATAACAGAAGCTCAGGAACATTTTTGATGTAATTTAAAAAGTAACATATATGTAATTTAGAGTTTAAATGTTGGTCATGGGGGTTGTGCAATAGGTCACCATTGTCATTTCATTTCATTTCAAACCTTTATTTATCCAGATTGTCCCTTGAGATCATAGATCTCTTTTTCAAGGGAGAGCTGAAAAACCTGTCAGTAGGTCTGTATGTAGAAACTGAGTATGTACAAAAGTCACGTGTTAATATGTTAATATCTTCTATCGTGTAGTATGTAAGATTTTTTATTTTTTATTTGTGTAACTGCAGGACAGATACCAGAACACATTTCCTACAATAAAGTATATTATATCATATCATAAATGCATGTATAAAAACTAAATATAATCTAAATGGAATTGAATAAGAGACCAGTGCGAAACATCAAAAGAACAATCTATAAAGAATCTTGAATTATTGTCTGAAAATTGATACAGTACCTCATGAGTCTCGGTCAGTTCGGTAGCAGGGGGTCCCCGAGAGGAATCACATCGTTGTCTCTCTGCTGGACCGAAGAGTTTAAAAGATTTCCTTTCTCTTCTGTCTTTCTACTCGCACATCACTATCTCACTCTCTTGTGAAATCTCTCCCTCCCTCTTTCTCTATCTCTTTCTGTCGCTCATCCCTCTGCCTCCTCATTCAGGCCCCTCTCTCTTCTTCAAAGTGCCCAGTGACACTTTGCACTTGTTACCACAGCTGGTGCCTTACAGGAAGCCTCATGAAGCTGTGATGGTGTGAGGAAGGGGGAGGACTTTTTTTAAACAAAGCTCCTCCTCCTCCTCCTGCAGCTACCTGGACGCCGTTAAAATAATAATTGCACTGAAAATAATAAAACGCACCACATCCTGTTTCAATCACAACGATAAGTGAGTTGTATGAAGGGGGAAACGGGCACTTTGTACTCTGGGGTGGTTTATGAAACTTAAAGTGAAGATTCAGAGAACTAAAAGCTACCAGATCGAGAGCCATATGGGGTTAATTAAGATACCAAACACACACACAGAAGTTGCACAGCAGGAAAACCGCTTCTCTTATAGCCGCAACCACTGCAGACACGTGTATTTATACTACAGATGTGGGTCTATAGAGAGAAAGAAAGGAGGTTAGAGTTAAAGCAGTAGATATTTACTCAAAGGTCACCAAACATTTAATTTCTGTTTCTTCCTCTGATTAATATTGTGTAGGTCCTAGTATTTTGCTCTACACCATTTTGCTAAAACACAATTTTAGTTTGCACTTGTTTATTTTTGAAATGTTTCCAAATGATAATGTAGCTACTAGTATGGAATTTGGGGAATGTAAGACTTAATATTCCATCAAAATGTTGAGAATAAGTCGGTAAATGCAGAGTGTTATGCTTGTTTTAATGCCTCCTGCCTAAAATGCCTTTATTGGAATCCTTTGTTTACTTCAACAACATAGTAACATCACTAAGTAATACTGGAGCTTCTATTGGCTAGCGCTCGAACACATTGTACGTGATAGGCTAAGAGGCGGGACGTCTCTAATCAGTTGACCAATCACAACAGAGCCGGCCAGCTAACCAATCAGAGCAGATTGGGCTCTGGTTTCAGACAGAGGGTGAAAAGAGGTGCTGCAGCACAGACAGTATGAGAAAAATAAAGAGCTTTTTGAACATTAAAGCATGGAGACATGTCCCAGTAGAGACACTACATACAAATATGAACCTGAAAATAGGCGGAATATGTCCTCTAGTTTTTTATCCGACCACGGCCTACATGGTTCCACATTATATAATATATACTATTGCATGCTGCTTAGGCATTTTCAACAAATATTCATGCAAATGAATATCAATCAAACTATAATATAGAAAAAAGTAATTTTGCCAACAGAGAGAGAAGGAAACAGGATGGCGAAAAACATAAACAGTTTTAAGAGTATATTTTCACCCAGTGTTTTTTAGTCAAATGCCAATATGGGAGTGCAGTGTGTAGCACAGAATATAAGATCAATGTTTTAGTATCTACAAGTGTTAATCTCAGTCTTAAAGTTCAATGAAGGGCCATTGTGCAACACTCATCCGAGCTGTACTTATAGTGCCAACAAACCACAACGCATACACACCTTTAACACAAACTGTCGCAACACAATATGTTTGAATCCAGCAGTCAACACACGCCTGGTTGTGAGTGGGTTTCAAGCCTACAGTGGGCCAGAGGGTGATCAGATGCCTCCCCCACTAGTTCCTGCACATACTTAGGTGTCAGCATCAGCTTGCAGCGGTAACAGGAGAGAGGAGGGGAGGGTAGTGTGCAGACAAGGTGCAAGAAGAAGAAGGGCTTGCATCTCTTGCCTGAAGGTCAAAGTCCGCTGTGTTTGAGGCGAGAAGCTGCTGAGAAGGCCAAAGAGATGTTTGTGCTCGGATAGCAGCAAGAAAACAGTCTCAATCCACAGACCACAATGACAGGGGGAGGCTTGGGTTAGAAGGTGAGAACAGAAACAAGGGAGGGCACACTCATAATAAAATGTTTTAAAAACATCAGTCTAATCATTTTAGGGAGGCGTTTTAGATAAATATTGCTAAATTAAAAAGATTAAATCTGCCTTTTCTATTTAAGACTCATATAGTGGAGAAGGCACATCTAAAGTATGTTCAATTCCTGTAAGTAAAGGCCAGAGCTGACTAAGTTCAATATCCTGTGAGGTTTTACTGGTGGTTTCACATTGCTTTTAGCTTAGGGCTAATGTCAGCATTCTAACATGCTCAAAATGGCAAAGCTAACATACTGTAAGGAAAGGCAAGGCAAGTTTATTTATTTAGCGCCTTTCAACACAAGGCAAAGTACTTTACAAAAATGAAAGACATTAAGAGCATTAAGAAACATAGTATAAAATGATATCTAGAAACACTCATTTAAATCATTGATATAAAATTACGTTTAAAAACACTCATTTAAAAGCAAAGATAATCAAAGTTACATTACATTACATTTAGCTGACGCTTTTATCCAAAGCGACTTACAATAAGTGCGTTCGACCAACAAGGTACAAACTTGAAGAAAACAGAATCATATAAGGTCATCAGGTTTCATAGAGCTAAAACATTTCAAGTGCTACTCAACTGGTGCTTTGTTAGTAATTATATCGCTAGAAGTGGAGTCGAAAGAGATACAGTGCAGTTTAAAGGTGGGGTAGGTAAGTTTGAGAAACCGGCTCGAGATACACTTTTTGTTATACTCCATGGAATGCTCTTAACATCCCGATAGAAATGAATATCTGAAGTGCTTTGACAAGAAATCCATAGCAAAATGTCATCTGTGGAAGCCGTAGTACTGTAAAAAGCACGACCAATCATTTTAGCCGGCCCGGCTAAAATAACTGGATGGCCTACCTGCCTGTCAGCCTTCCATCTGTGCACAAACTTATCTCGTGCCCTCATTGGTCATGTGCGCGTGTGTGTTGGGGGAGGGGCTCTGTAAGCAAGTGGCAGTTTTTTTCCAGCTGTGTATTTTCAAATTCTAGCGCACTCGAGCCGGTTTCTCCAAAATTACCTACCCCACCTTTAAGATATGAATATATCAATTAAAAGCAGCGGCAAAAAGAAAAGTCTTCAGCCTTGATTTAAAAGTAATAATACTAAAAGTAGTATGACTACACCTAGATTTCTGGCTTCATCTGTTGTTTTGAACATTGCACTTTTATAAGTTCGGCCTTGGCTCCAAAAACCATTACCTCCGTTTTGTCTTTGTTTAATTGGAGACAGTTCTGACACATCCAGTCATTGATTTGTTCAATGCACTTACTCAGTGTTTGAATTGGAGCATAGTCTCCTAGTGAAATGGTTATGTAAATTTGTGTGTCATCCGCATAGCTATGGTAACTTATTTTGTAGTTTTTCATTATCTGAGCCAGTGGTAGCATGTAGATGTTAAAGAGAAGAGGCCCCAAGATGGAGCCTTGAGGAACCCCACATGTCATATTTGTTAACTCAGATGTGTATTTACGCATAGAAACAAAGTTGTTTCTGTCCTTTAAGTAGGATTCAAACCAATTTAGAACTGTTGCCGAAAGTCTCACCCAGTTTTCCAGTTGGTCTAGTAATATGTTGTGGTCAACAGTGTCAAACACAGCACTGAGATCTAATAATACTAACACTGAAGTTCTGCCACTGTCTGTGTTTAAGTGGATGTCATTGAAGATCTTTACAAGAGCAGTCTCAGTGCTGTGGTTTGGACGAAAGCCTGACTGGAACACATCGAAACAGTTATTTAAATGCAAGAAATTACTCAACTGTTGAAAAACTACTTGTTCAATGATTTTACCTAGAAATGGGAGGTTTGATATGGGCCTGTAGTCAGGGGCGGCGGGTACTGTAGGCTAGGGAAGGCTAAGCCTTCCCAAATATTTGTGTCACTGCATCCAGTTAAAATAAAAATATAATGTATAATGTTTGTGTCTTTGACATTGGCGCTGCTATGCAGCCACCTGTGCCCTGTTCTACGAAGCCAGTTCAACATACCCTGGATACGTTTGAGTTATCTTAACTAACCTAACAAACGAGATCTCGCTAAGCGGTCCTACGACGCTGGTTATCAACTCAGTAAATCAAGCCAGATTTTCTCTCTCCAGCTGAGAGCCCGTTCACGTGAAACGTGAAAGGGGCGGGGTTAGCTACATTTGACCAATCACAAACAGTGACAAGTGTACTGACAGCGCAGCGTCATACTTCATTAATGAAAAGTAAACTAATATTAGACAAATATGAACTTTAACCATCCATGACTTAAACATATAATCCAGGATACAAGCCACATAGTTGCACCTGCAAGGTGAATATAGAACAACTGGTTAAAAAATAAATAAACTACTGAGTGTTTGAAAGCGTACAACAGTTTTATGATATCACTGCCCTATCTAACACACGAGTGGATCTGACTTTAATTACGTTTGAGTTGAGTGTTTCGTCAACCTGATGTGTTGCTTAAAATAATACTTCTTCATTCAGTATGTGACACTGTAAGTGTGCACGGCCAGATACGGCTCGAGAAGCTGACTCAGATAAGGAAATATATGATATATTATGATC